GGTCTGCTTTTACCATGGCACTAGATGACTCCCAGAAGGGGGGGGGGGGAGCTAGCCAATGTGCATGTATATTTCAGTAGTCAAACATTTCAAGCAATCATAGCAGTAGTTTCTACTTCAATTAACAATCCATTTCTCAAGGAACGCACCATGTCATATTCAAGAAATAATTCACCCTTAATTATAGAAATTAATTTCTGCCATAATTTAAGACCTGTCATCCTTTATAGTGAGAATACCTTTTGTTCCCCCTCCTGGGTGAACATTTACACAAGGAAGATTTGTCTTCTCATCTCCCCATTTGCCTCCTGAACAATCCTCTCTTGGACTTAAAACAACATGAAAGTTCCAGAAAAGTGTGAGTTAATGTTAGGTGTTTGCAGTAAGGGTCAACAAAGAGAGAGAGAGAGAGAGATTCATCTGGATTTTTAAAAAATACATTTTTCCACCTCTCCTTTCTCTGGAGAGAGTGAATAATCATTTGGGGATGGGGGGATGAGGAAATATAACCACTCATAGTGGATTGGTCCTGGCTGAAAAAAATGCCTCAGATCACATGACTTCCCTTGCTGCCAATTCTGTCAAAAGAACCAATAAGGGAAGAGATGGGGAGAAGGGACAATGGCAGTAAGAGCTTCCAACCAAACCACACATCAGCTGCCCTGCTATGCTCCAAAGCATCATTGACCTTATAGACAGCAGGCTCTTGACCCAGGGTAGGCAATATGGTGCTCCCCTTTGACTATGGACCACATCTCCCATAAAACCCAACTAGCATGGCCAATGGTCAGGAACTGTAGAAACAATAATCCAAAGTGAAAACTTAAAGGGTCTCGAGCATGCTCCTGCTGTTACTGCTGTAGATGAGCGGCAAAAGAACATTAACTGAAGAACTTTATAACTGAAACCCAAAATGTGATGCAGCCAGGTTAAAGAAGGGGTAAGAAACTGGCAAGGGACCTATACCAACTGGACTCTGAAGAACTACAAAGGATAGGCACCTTCTCTAGGAAGCCTCCATGTAAATGAATTCTTGGGAAATCTAACAAATCTAGTGGTGGAAGCCAGTGTCTGGTCAGCCTCCTGTAAGGAACAGGATGGAGTATTACTATGGCTGCAAAGAGGTACTGATCAGTTTTCATTTTTATTCTTTGAAATATTTTAGATCTCCTTTATGCCTTATTTCCAATTTTAGAAAAGACATCACCTACTCAACATTTCTGAGACTTTGAAGACTGATATATAAAATTTGGTAATGTATTTTACCCCAATGAAATGAGAGGTCATTCTGGAAATGGATCTAATTCTATGAAGAGGGACTACTGCATTCCACACAGTGGGATTCTCTCAATAGCCTTCCTCAGGCAGAAAATCAGTGTTTGATTTTTTTTAAGTTCCAAAGTTTCTAATTAAGTGAATAAAATAATGTCTTCCGATGCCTGGCTTGAGAGGCACAAAGAATATTCTTCTCCAGGGCAAAAACTGCTCCTTGAGGAAAAAAAATGTGCAGGAAACCTTATTCATCCATCCCTAGGATGCATCCTGTAGGAGATCAGGAGGAAAGATTCCCCAATAGGAACATCTATTGGGAGATAAAGCTATCCTTTTGGATAACTTGTCATGAGAACTTCCATGTAGACACTGCATTTAGGAAAAGGAAGAAAGTAGAAGCAATCTACTGCACGCACGCTACGCTCAGTTGTAATACCTCAGAGCTCAAAGACCTTGATTGATGGTTCGGGAAGGGAAAACACAAAGGCACCATGTCCTTGGGAGCTCTGATGATCTCTTTCAGGTTGTATGCTTGTAAATACTTCAACCAGACTGCATTCTATAGCTCTGTTACGTTGGACTGGAAAAAAAAATGACAGCTGAGCACTGAGTTCCCTCCTTACTGACTCAAGGAGGACTACTATTTCTGGCAGAGGCACTGGGTGATCCCAGAATAAATTCCTTGAAGCAGCAAAAGTCCTGGAGTGGTTGATATTTCTGTGCTGCTGTATAAAGGCCAGGGTGATGGGCTGGAACGTGGAGGAATTGAGCAGGTGGGTGATCCGTGAGCTCTTAGTAAGGCTCTAACTTCAAGCTATTATACAGACAGCAAGTAAAGCACATCCCAAATATCTAGGAGATAAAGAGAACAGAGGTAACCATGAGGAGGGCCATAAGTGTAATATTAAGCCAGAAAGTACAGCACCCCTTTGGTCCCATGTAGTTTAAATCAGTATTTTTCAACTTTAAGACATGTGGATTTCAACTCCCAGAATTCCCCAGCCAACCGTTTAAACAGTTTGGTTTAAATCAAACTGTATCCCATAATCCGAAATGCTGAGGATCTCAGGTGGACCCAGAGGAAGAAGTTGGAGAGTTCCCACTATCCCTTTCTCTTGGTAAGTCATGGTGTAACTGAGCAGGCTGGCAATTAGTTTTTAAGGCAAGCAATATATTATACATAGTGGTATTTCTTTCTACTGGTATTGTAAGGAAAAGCAAAACATGGATTGTGCCACAGTGTGCAGATCCTTTTTAACAAAAATTCCCAAGTGAACTGTACTGTTCTTAGAGGAATTGGACTTTCTCCAGCATTAATCTCACAGCACGTTTCATTTTTGACTAGGAGCAAGAAACTGACACTCTCCAAAGTTATTTGAAATGTGCAGGGATGAGAGAAACACCCAGTGATGGAAAGCTACAAACAATTTCCCAGATACTGAATGTAATTGTCACAGGGGTCACGCCTCTGATGATGGGAAATTCTAGAAGCTGTTCAATAACTCTCCTTCCCTCAAATTTGCAAACTGACTTGTTGTTGTGCTACATTAACATCAGAGGGTGCTGTTTGACTGCTCTACAGATTTTCACATCTGATATCTAGTTCCTCCCTCCCTCAACTCCTCAAAAAGAAAAAAAGAAAAGAAAATGGGTTACTGGAACTTCCATTTACACATTTAGAGAAATGTAATAGTTTAAAATAACTATTAGTTATTTTATTAGTTAGTTTCAATAGTTTGAAAACTCAAGAGTCTCTTTTTTCTCATTGAAATCTAGATTGAAAAGCAGACTCCAATCCACAAACAGGGCTGCTTGTATCATTTTTACTCCAGCATCCAAACAACTGAAATCACATGGCTATTCATATGCAGGAGAAATCTTCTTTAGGCAGGGAAGCTTCTAGATGGTAAGAGAGTGTCAGTCTTCAGAGTCAATTATTCTCCTTTAAATACTAGCTGACAGCTACTTAAAAAAAAAAAAAAAAAAGCAAGATAACATCTTTGCAGGGTTTGTTTATAGAGTATTTTGCCCTGGAGGAACACACAGCCTTCAAGAATAGATGACAGCCATATATCATGAGGATCCAGAAATACTCAATTTCAAAAAAAGATACAAGGGTGAGAACATTCCAGCGCATATATAGTATACTGTAAGATGAGGTTTCAGTTTAAACTATTTGCTGTTGTAAAAAAATAAAATTAAGGTCAGTGCTGACACCTTTTTCTATGACCGGAGGGTAGCTTGGGGCAAAGATATAGAAAACAACACATCTGTTTCAATATTTTAAAGCTTTTTTTTGACAGGAATGTGCTTTTGTTTACCTGCTAAATCATCATCTATCTGTACCTCAGTATATTTTGGCCCCATAGACCCTAAAACCAAAGGTGGTAGCCATGATGGGTAAAAACAACTCCTTAGCGGCATATACTTTTTCCTTCAGTCACTCTTTTTTTACAAAATAAAATGCTGTTTTAGTTGAGATACATAAGAGCCACAATGAATCCTGAAGTTCTGTATGGTCAGCAACACAACATTGCTGGTCTGTAAGCTGTCATTTAATCTTGGTTTTATGCATATCTTGCAATAATGACAGCACTCTGAATTGGCTGCCATTCTGAAGTTTTTTACTCAGGCTTCCAAAAAACTTTTGAGAGAAATGTAAGGGCCCACGTTAGCTTCTCCTTGAAATTTTATCAAATTCAGAGTATGGTCCCACTGGCAAGTTCACGCTGATAAATGTTTGCTTTGTAAATTACTAATATCATGGCTGCCAACCTTTGTCTTTGAATCAAAGCTACAGTGACTTAGGTCAGACAGACCTGGATTCAGCAGAGAAGGTTTCAATGCCAGCAAATGAATTGCTCTGAGAAAGCCACAGAATTGGGGAACTCTTCCTCTCTCTACTGTCTTCTTATATGCTCAAAGCAATGCCTCAAAGTGGTCCTATAGTATCTCATTGATCTCATGAAACTAGTATCTCTTATTCAAGAGATAAATTAGAAGACCTTAACTTCTCTTTGTCCGAAACAGAAACTGGTTTATTCTGGCTTTGTCCTGTAGCAGAAAGCCACCAGCCAGTAGGAGTGGATTCATTTTAGCCACTCTGTCCTCCACCCTTCATTCCAGTAACTGCTGAGAAGCATTTTCCATACAGGTTTATTTTTAAGGCAGGGGAATAAACAAGATAAACCTTTCCCTTTATTCCCATGAAATCTTCTGCAGGTTCTAGTTTAGTAACTTTCAGTTAGGGGTAAGTTGGATCACTGGGCCTCTTGTAGCTCAAATTTTGGTTACAGCCTTCCAGTCACCAACCACCATGACAAAGTTAGTTTACAAGTGGCTTGTCCAACTCTGAGTGTGCATAATTCAGTCTTTCCTGATTACATACCTGTACAAATGCAATGCTGAGCCCCACCGCTCCAATAATTATCAGGTGTTCCTGGATAAAGTTTCCCAACTTAGTGATACAGCCACCCTGGGAAAAAAACATAGACCTGATGTTACTTTTCATACCTATCTTCTTATGCTGTGCAATGTCCCATCTTTCAAGACACAAACATACGAACGGATGAAGTAAACACGGGCTGGTACTTGTGGCAAAGCTGTCATCTGTTTGAGAATCATCCCACTGGCTGAATGTCTCATCCATATGGTGACGTCCATGGCCCAAACACAGGCTTCCTATGCAGCCTTGTATGGAATAGGCATATGGAGGATGAGCAGTCGCCTTTCAACCAGGAGTAGATGGCACCCCTAACAAACAAAGCCCAGCACATAATCTGGGATCAACCAAGCCTGGCTGTCATTTCTGGAAAATGTTGCATTTGGTCTCTTGCCTGCCCCTCCCTCAGACCTGCCAAGTCCCAGCAGACACAGAAGCATTACCTGGATAAGTGGTTGTGTAATCTGAGCTTTCTTTTTCTACAGAGAGTTGGGGAATGCCCCCATGTTCTTAGAAATCCCTCTTCTTTCATTATCAATAATTAACACACGCCCACACACCCCAACAGTGACACAAAGTTATGTCCCATAATTTTAAAATTGAGCCCACAGGAAACACGCTGAGACGATCCAAGGTCAGATCCTTTTTCAGTCATGAAGCTCCTGACTGCCCTCAAACCCATTGCTAGTTTAGCCTCATGTTTCTCACGGTCTAGTTCTTGCAAGGACAAAAACAGGTGAGTATGTTTATGAGAGGAAACTCATGACTTGTCCCTTTCCACTATCCTCCTTATCAATTGCCTACCAGGACTGTATAACTGCAGTGGAATAAATTAATTAGTATAACAGAGATGCTCCCCAAATCAGTCTTTCTCCATATGTTCTCAACCTATTTACAGCAAGTCAGATTCACATACTGACTGGAGGGAAATATCACCAAGAGAAAATGGTTCATTATCCTTTCTAAGTCTTTAGGAACTTTGCTTCTTTTATGGATTGTAGGGGAGTTGACCTTTTGAAGCAAAAATAACCAAGAGTCTTGTGGCAGCTTAAAAATACCCCATTTTATTATCATCTAAGCTTCTGTGAATTGGAAGAAGTGGCCTGCAATCCACAAAAGCCTATGCAATAATAAACTGGCTAGTCTTTAAAGTATCTCAGGACTCTTAGTTATTTTATTAATTATAAAGCAGCAATGATAGAAGGAAGGCTCACAATTTAGAGAGACAAAAAGGGAGAGAGGAAACAGGTGCAGGAAAAAAAAAAACAGGAAAAACTGAGATGTGATGGGACTTTCCTTCAGAAGAGTCTCGTCTCCCAATATTTTAGATAAGAGGCTAAAAAAACCCATCCCCTGGATTCAGCAGTCAGCAATTATGCCCTGAGGCAGAGAGTTTGGTCTGTCTCTGCCCCACCAAAACAAGCTTAGTTGCAGAAGTTATTCATGTGCCTTAATCCTCCCCTGAGCCTGAATGAAAGGGACTGCTTCATCATCATTGTCCAGAAAAGTATCTTAGAGGCCCAAAACATCAACTGGCTGGATGGAAAATGGAATTTTGGACTTAAATCAACTCTAAGGGATTGGAGTAGAAATGGGCACTTAAAAAAATATACATCTCCATTCTTCACACTGAAGAGCATATATACACCATAAAACATAGAGGTAAAATACTCCATTAGGTTGAGCTCAGTTTCTGATATTCCCATTTCTTTTCTTAACAACAGTACAAGAGTAGGTTACCATTGCTTTCTTCCAGGATGTTTATTCCATTTCTAACTATAGTTCTGGGCTTCCCTGGTGATGTCCCATTCAAGTACTAACCACACTGGCTTAGTCAGCCTTCTGGTAACAGTCAAGATCAGAGAGGCGCAGCTACCTAACTGGGCTAAATATCTATACTTGCCTCACATGTCAAGGAGAGCTGGGCCAGCCCTGCCAAGGAGTATAAATATCTATTTGCTTATATGTTTACTTCTCTAGAAAAACACAAACAAGGTAAATACTGCAATATAATTGTAGATGGAGGTTGTTATGATGTTCCAATGCACAATGTTCAAGGTGAGGCTGCTCAAAGAGCATAATCAATCAAAGGTCTCATCAGATGATAACAGGATACGGCTCAGGTTTGTTTGAGTTTAAATTTTTTACCTCTTTGTAGATATTTGAAGGATGATCTCTTTTACCACATGCATCGGTTATTGTCTTGCAGCAGCTGTCCGGGACCTTCCTTCCTTCCTTTTCAACTTTGTGCCAATAGCTGTCACTCCAGTCTGTGTAATTATGGCTGCCACAACACTTAAACTGAAGACACAGGCAACAAGACATTATGAGAAAACCAAATTTGTATCACGTATTGGCCAAAATTACACAATTAAGTCTCCTGCCTCTGACAGTACATCCCTCAGGTATGCACAACTTGTGCCCACTTTTCCCTGAAAAGGTCAGTACACAACAGCCCACCAGCCAGACAACGAAACAGCAGTTTTTACTAAGCTTTTTGTTGCCATATGTAGCTAGAAGGCTGTGCCTCTCTTCCCACAAGAAGCAGTAAAATTCACTTTGTTTCTAGAAGCTTAAAATTTCTCTCTTCACTTTTGGGGCTAGAAAAAAGTGTATCAGTACAATTTAGGAATCAAATGTTTCTCAGGAAAGTGACTTCTTAAAAAAACACCCTGAAGTCAATCCTCTTCACCTCCTTTTGCAAATTCTCAGTTATTCCATTAAAGATAGAATTAACTCCATACAAGAGAGGTGTAAGAAAAAGACTGAACCACCCCTTCGGATAATTCATCTTTGTAGAGGTATCCCTGGAGTTAATGAAGACTTGAGCTTGATACAAATATATTAAGAGTCTCTTCCAGTAATGCTGGAGGATATTTGACCGTACTTGTGAGAAAATGTTAAATATAAAACCATGTTTGGTAGTGTCACTTCTGCTCTGTATGTGTATATGCTGGCCTCCACTGGTTTGTTCAATCAATGAACAAGTTACTTTAGTTGTTCTCACTATATCAATCTACATTCCCTGCAAAGGAATCATATATTCAGCTGAGTGTGGAAGAATCATTGCTGAGAAAAGTAATTCCCTATAGAGGCATGGCATGCTCACACATTTCTGCTCAATTACAGTCAAAAGGAGTCTCCTCCCTTCCTTGTATTTTTCCATCTGATATCATGCCTATACAGAAATATCCCAAGTTTCCAGTTTGTGGCATAAATCCAGAATCTATATATGTTTAATCTCTGAATAAGTCCAATTTACTGCAAAGTATCTTACTCCCTGTGCATACATATTATACTGTTAGGCAGCAATGTCATGTACGTTGGGAAGTTAATTATACTGAATGCAGCTAGATTTACTCCTGAAGAGTTTGGAATATATGCTGAGTGATCCCCCTACAGTAGCATGATGGGGCACAAATCATTCAAGTGCAAGAAGTAATGCAAGGAAACATATTCTGGAGGAGCTAGTCTACTCAACTTCCATTTGTCTTGTCTGATACATGTAGGGCAGATCTCACGCCCTCTGCCATACTGTCCAGCAGGAGAACCTTTCAGACTATTGCAAATCTTCTTAGAATAGGAAGGTGACAGAGTAGCTCCTGTTAGGATGATCGTGTTTGGACTTGAAATACTAGCAGCTTATACCAACACACACATCCATAGGTGTTGAAATAAAATCACCACTACTGAGTGATTTTATAAACTGAAGAGCAGAAACAACAATTTTCCTATCACCAGTTTCTAAAAATAAAAGTAAGATTCATAGAACTTTCCACCATTTTGGAGAATGCCCCCACTCCTGTTCTTTTGAATGAATTATTCAGTATGTTCCCAAATCACACCCATGCCTCTTCCATGCTTAAAGTATCTAGCCACATCCAGTATGATCATCTAAGTTCTAAAACAACAAGACATATTGATCTGGAACACTGCTGCACTGGTCAAAGAAGATGAAGCACATTCCCTTCTCTCTCAGAGAATTGTGCTCCTCTGTTAATTACTTTTTATGCCACACTTCTCTGTAACTGGAGAATAATAGCTTCAAGAAAAATATGTGACAATCAGGAAGTGAATTTACCATTTTTACTCAACAAAGACCCATCTGTTTTCCCACTTTTCTCTTGCAATGAGGTTATTAAATTGGTGATGGTGAGAATAAGAAATGGAGAGGTATTTCAGTGACGTGATCACTAAATAGGGCCAGCTGATTATTTTAACTAGCTACTTTTGTGTTTCTCCTTTGGGAGATGCTGTTTCAGGCATGAGGCAAGAGTGCTAAAAATACATATGCCCTGTTCAATGCCTCTAGACCAGGGAAAGTCAACACAGAATGGAAGGCGTGGGAAAGGGATCTACACATGATCCATTTACACCTTAGGAATCTGTTTCTGCAGCCAAGTGTTTTGCATATATAAAATATCATTCAGACACAGTTATTTGGTGGAAATGCTGCCCCCTTCAAGTGATATTTGCAGACAAGTAGACCTAAAGCTACCTCTTTTCAAATGTACACGTAATATTCTGGCTAAGCAAAGGCCCCCTCATTTGGCAGTAGTCAAGCCCACCAGCACTCTTTTGAGTAGCACTGTTGGGCTTTCATTTGATCAATCCTTTCATCTGCAGCTGTCTTGAAAGGAGGGACTACATTATGACTTCTGCTCAGGGGAAATCTCTAGGGATCCAGGATGAGTGGGATCAATAATCTGGCAAAAAACAGCTGCAGCCCAATTTTGAAAGTATCTGTATGGATAGAAACATGCAGAACAGAATTCAGAACAGTCTGAATTAAGGCAGGGGAAAAACACTATTTTCTGCCATGATTCAGCTTTTCCCATTTCTTCCCCTAGATCTTCATCTCTATTTAACCCCCATATTTCTTAAACATACCTCCTGCTGAAGCTTGTCCACCGCACTGGTCACACTCTCTTCTCCTGCCTTCTTATACTTCTTGGTCATCGTGTCTCTCAGATTTTCCTTCAGCTCCTTATTCAGCTACACAGAACAGGACATTAGCAATGGGGACAAAATAAGATACAGCGATGACTGTTCTTCAACCCAGTTCCCTGTATAACAATTGTTACCAACTATTCTGAGAGAACTGTCATGTAATACAAAATGGCTGTCAGGGTAATTCCATAGAGTTGGGATCCAATTTTGCAAATATAAATTCGGCAAACTGAGCAAGTTGGGTAGCTTGAAATGCTATGCAAACTGAATGCTCTAGAACAGGCTTCCTGAACAAAATGTCAGTCTTGGAGAGTAATTCTCACCATCCTCTAGCCAACATGAACATTGGAGAAGACTACTCAAGTTCTCCTCCAGCTTCTGAAGCAATGCTCAAGGAATGTGTCAGTATGCCCTGCTCCTGTTTCTTTTTTAGTATATTGCAGGACTGCTCTGATCTTTTCTGCACATCCTGCCTCATGCTTCGCAAACCAAATAAGACAAAGCACTTAGATTCACACTCAGTTAGAACTCTAGAATCTAAACAGGATTAAGACCCAGTACTCTTGGCTGACTGGGTTGACTTTTAGAAGTACATTGTGGGCACTGAGAGCTACAATCACTCATTCACATGATCCCCCACAGCTGAAAGAGGAGGGCTGTGCCATCAAAGGAAGCTACCTTTTACTACCCTATATGTTGGAGGCAAGGAGTAGCTTCATCTAATGGAGGACCAGTGGCTCATCAAGTTGTTCATGTCCATTGCTAATGTGACAAGTTCCACAAGATCCATAATTTTTATTACCCTATCAGCCAACCCTATATCATTAAATATAGATGTCAAATGCCCAATCTACAACTTTACTGTGTAAATTAGTATACTATCATACAGGCACTTGAGGAGAGGAGCAGATATCTGGGGAAAAAAACGAGAGCCAAAATTCTGCACCATCAACCCAGCAATAAGCCTTAAACTCCACTTGTACAATCAGGTTAGCGTATCATTTTTGTTATGTCCAAATCACCTTTTTATTTGAAAACAAAGATTATGAGGTTTCAGAGCAGAATAATCAGCAAAAATACAAAATAGAATAGCCTAACCATACTAGAAGAAAACATTTTAAAAGTCCCTCCATTAACACATGCCATACAGAAAAAGAAAAGCAATTACCTGTGGGTTGATAGGGAAGAACTGCAGCATGACAAAGAGGCAGCAAAAATAAACACACACACAGTTTATAGGCATTTTGGAAGAAAGTGCCAGCAAGGGGAGAAACAAAAAAGGCAGCACAAAAGCCCAAGTTTCTTGAGTCCTTGAGGAGAGGACAGGAAGCTTGCCCAAGCAGGACTAGCAGACAGAGAAAATGAAGCTTGCAAGACCAAGAAGATTCCCAGAGTCACTAGAAACCCACAAAGAATATAGATCCCAACATGCCATACCTCCCCCGCTCCCTGCCCCCGCCCCCATCAACGCTTGCCACGCATTCTTTAGCTTCCAGTCCACTTTCAGATAGAAGTAATAGGTCAGATTCTGCAACCTGCAGATTTTACAAGCAATAGAAGCAGACTTTCCTAGTGATTCCAGCACTACTGTATTTTATTCCACCAGCATTCAACATATTTATCTTTTCAACACCTGACATTTTTAATCCTGCTAATCCCTGTATAAATCATAGGATTTTTTATAATCCATATTTAAGTCATATTAGAGCCTAAGGTGACAGTTCACAATTCCAAGTCAAGCCATGACTAAGTTATCAAGCACCTACAGGTGGCAAACTTCTATGCTCTTCCACCTGATTTGACCCATTGCATCGCATCACATTTGCTGGAAAAAGCTAACACGGAGTTGGCTAGTTTGTGGTTTAGCATGCTGCGGAAACCTGGTCACTGTGTTAGCCTGTGTGAAACTATGGCATGGTTTATTAGTCTGGGCACAGCTTGTTATGCAAACTGAGCAAACAGGATTTAGCCTGTTGTGTGAACTAGACACTATTTCCCTCTTGCAGTTTGCCAAGATAGTCAAGTCAGGTCTTCTGTTCAGGTCACATACAAGTCAAGGCCTGTTTAGCTCTTAGGTAGTAAAACTGTTCAAGCTCCCTCTCTGGGATTCCAAGAGCTATTGATTAGATCAGCAGACTATATGGTTATTATGAAAACACACATCAGTCAGAGACAACTGCCCTTCCATGATTGCATTATTTCATCATAAAACCAATGTACAAATGTCAATAAAAGCATTACAGTCCCTTAAAACAGAGCAGCAATCATTAGTTCAGCAGCAATTAATAAAAACATCAGTAACAAGCAGACTGAAATAAATGTCTGTTAAATGTTTTAGTTAACATGTCCAGTGATGAAGCCACAAGAGAAGCGAGTTTCATAAGCAAGAATCCATCACTGGGATTCTAGTGTATTTGTAGTTGAATGTGGATATCACGAAACACTTATGACTTAAAAACAGGTTTAAGTGTCATCCATTCACACCTTCCCTCCTCCCCTTGCTTCTCAGTTCTCTGGGTTTAGTATAGATCATGTAAAGAGGCAGAGATACTGCAGTGACAATAACCTTTTGTTTGTAAGAAGAGAATGTGTTAACTACTAAACTATTGTAGAAGCAACTGGATGGTCAGTCACTCCATTTTATATTACAGCATCAGAATGAAAGAGAAAAAAGCAATGTACAGGATATTTGCATTCCTAGCACAGATGCAGTAAGCTGAGTATTCTCTTAGATAGTATTTTCACAATTCACGAAAATTGCTCCAGACCAACTCACTGCCAATCAATTTCATATTATATTAAATTGGCCAATACATTGGTCTGGTGGGCAAAGATCTTTCCAGGTGTGTGAGTGGGTGAACTACTGAACTACTCTAAATCATCTAGAGCAACATATTATGTACTTGGTTTACTAAAATTTACTACATCATAAAAGTTGCCTTGCTTGGGCCAATGGCTGTATATCAATGCCTACATATGGGGTTTATAATCAAATGCATTTTAAATTGTAGTATTGGAACAAAGTTAAGGAAAGAAGTGTTTGCACTGCAGCTTCAAATCATAGCACGGCCCTTGAGACACACAGACAGCCCAGGATGTCAGTCTCTTGTTCATAATAGGTTTTTAGTCCAATGCACAAATCTAAAATAGCCTAGGAAGTCCTATGCATAACAGATGTGCTTACAGAGCTTTATGGAAAGATGCCAAAAAGCCTCATGACTACCACTGTCACAGTAGTGCTGGCTCACAGTAGGCAAGAATGAGTCAATCTCTGTAAATAAAAGTGGTATATATTCATTGTGTTGAGAAGACCTGTGGGGAAATGAAATGTAGCTTGTCGTACCAATCACCCTCTTTTCTCATATTACCTACCTGCTGGTAATAGACACAGGCCAGGATTCCAGCAATTATCTCAAGCAGGAAGATGCACAGCAGCAATATGAAATACTAAAGAAACAAAATTAACAAAGAAGTTAAAGCAGAACATCGTGCACTATAGAAAGATAGCCCTGGAATTTACTTTTCCCATAAAATACACTGTTGACAAAACAGGTAGACTTAGGTACCCAAAGTCGAAGACAATGGAAATGGCAAAGCAGAGGACAGTAGCAGATATTATGCACTCCCAGACAAGAGGAACTGGATTTGGAGGGTGTCCTTCATTTTGGGGGTTCTCAGCCAACTGCTCTATCTAGGAGTGGAAGAACAGCTTTCAATTTTCCAAGCCTTGTTATTTTATTAAATGCATCTTACTCAGAAGCGGAACAAGATTCTACCTTGTCTAGAAGGTAGCTTTACTGATACATTATTGAATAAATAGCTTCACTGATACATTAAGGGGGAAGGGAAAAACAGGTCTTTACTGCCATATAAACTCATCAAAATGAGATTTGTTTGATTTTGGTTTAGTATGTTGCATACTTCCAGCCATTCTGCTCTATTCCATAAATCATGACTAAGTAAATCATAGTTTATGACACTAAACCAGGCCCATCTATGTTGAATTGTCTACTGTGTGGCAATGAGTTTCCAAAATAATAGGCAAAAGATCATTTGCAGCTCTGCTAGCCAAGATCCTTTTAACTAGAGAGCCTGGGGACTGAACCGTAGATCTTCTGTGTGTAAAGCATGTGCTCTACCACTAAATTATATTCCCTTACCCATCACTTTCACAGCTGTGACTCCTACTCTTGCCAATACTACTTGTTTTGAAATGCAACCCCTCCAGCTGACATCAGTAGAAACTCATCACAAGCTTGTTAGATGATGGTGGAATGCTAAATTGCTCAGGGCAGAAAGCATTTTGAAATAGCTGAACTTCTTGTAGTTTCTAACAGTACAGAAAGTCAACAAAATGTGTGCAAGCATTCTGGGCTGAATTATCAGGCGTGAACTTCAAAAAAGAATAAAACAAGGAGATAAGCTTTTTTTTAAAAAAAATCCAACTACTCAGAGATCTCTAAAAACATAACATTCAGATTAAATTAACACTAACACTGGTGTAAAGCTTAAAACAGCCACACCAGAAAAAGCTGTTTTATAAACAAAGAACAGATGGAGAAACTAGGAAACAAGCAGCTACATAGCCATTGACTCAAAAGGGTAGGAGGAAAAGGGCCAAGATATAAACCCAGGGACTAAAAGAGAGAGAGGGAAAAACAGAAGACAGGATTTGAAAGTGCTGTTATACAGATAACTTCTTCATATTTATGGTTTCCTGACACGACTTAATGACTGAACAACAACAATCTTCTGCAATTAATCTACTTATCTAACTTACTTCTGTCTGCTTGGGAAAGTGGAGTTAGGAGGGAGTTTAACTGCCATACCTCATACAAAGTCTCCATTTCACTACTCACAACCCTATAGGAGAACAGCTCCTACCCCACTCCGGCAATAAAGCCATGGCTGCAGATCTTCTGGCAACCCAATCATTTGCTTTAGTATCAGAATCAAGTTGCAATCCAACGGACCAGTTAATCAAGACAGTGAACCAGTTCTAGCCCGACAGGTGGGAAAGAATTTGCCACAACAGCATCTCTGGTCATGCTTCCAACTCAAGTCCCCATAGCTGTTGCTGCTGCAGCAGCCCTCCAAAGTCAAAACATCTGCTTCCCTGCTTGAAAGGAAGATGGACATCTTAGCAGGTTCATTACCTCCATATATGAATTATCCACTGCCCTGAGGATTTTCCCATCAATCAATCTTGTGCAGGATTTATAATTGGCCTGATTACCAAAAGAGCAACAGAACCAGCAGTCTCACCCCCACACACACCTCTGGCCCAGGCTTAGACAACTCCAATTTTATGACACTCTTGGAAGCTATATTCAACAATCCTGTCAAACAGGTGACTGCATATACCTACTCAATTCATCCCTCCACAGATATGTTATCACTTCAGACCACATAGAGTTATTACCCATGACTGCTCCCTACTGTTTTCTGGCTCTCTTCTACCAGAGCTCTCACATTTACTCCAGGACTAGTAGGCTGCTCAGGGCCTCCTCAAGGATCTCCCAAGTCATACAAGGCCTACTACAAGCACTCTGTCACCACCAGTGGGCTCTCCACACTGCTGAGAATGCGTCTGGCTTCCTACAAGCTTTCTTCCCTCTACACAACCATCTAAGAAGCTGGATCCAAGTTGACTGGACCATTTCCCATTCTTGCACATTCTTAGCCTTTTGTCTATAGTTTCCCCACACTCTGAAGATACACCCTGTTTTCCATCTTATGTTCTGGAATGCTTCCCTTGCTCCCTGTGCCGGTCTGTTCTACCATCCCATCTCAATGGCAAGGAGGAAGACTTCCAATGTGGGAAGGGCAATCTGGAATATCTATTTGCTGAAAAGGCTACCCAATCCTGGGAATTAGCAAAGGATGAACCTCTTTCAGCGGTTCCATTTGCAGTATCCCAAGAAACCCAAACTTTCTGATGGGCTGCACATTCTGACTTTGGCTTTGGATTGACTCTGAAGATGAAGGGAACTTGCTTGGGGATGGGAGATTGATATTACAGTGAGCACCTCATCTAGGGAGGAGTGGGAGACTTTTGGGAATGGAGGAATGTCTGACAGAATGGTAGAACAGAGTATACAGGGAGAATCCTTCCCAATTCCACTCAAAGAATAGACATTCTCCTTGTTCCTGAGATCTCTAACCAAGTGGAGAGAGAGGTTGAAAAAACTGAAAGAAATGAAGGGGGTAATTTTTTTTAAAAGTCCAACTGTGAAAGAAAAGCAAATCCCCTGCCCTAAGATGCCCAACTTGCAGGAAAGAAAGGAGGAGACTTTGTCAGTTCCAGCTGAGAAATCAATGGAAATGGAAGGAAAGATACCTTCCAGTCCCCCACAACCAGAGGAAAGCAGTGCTGGCACCTCTACATCTCCAGGACAGAGGGAGGTGAAGATAGAGACAGAGGTAGTGTAAGGGTGAAGCTGATGAGATGAGAATCTTTTATTCTCATAGTTTCAGAGCTTCATCCAAGACTCAACCATAAATCTCTCTCTAGCAACTCAAACCCACATTCAAGAATTAGCAGGACAAGGCAACATACATTGCTTTTATTGCAGAAACAAGTAGCACTAATAACAAAGAAACCCAGCTATTGCCAATCAAGCAATCGAACTCTCTATTGCTAATAGCACCCAGATTAAAGTTTTACACCTCCCCCATCTTATATAGTAATGGACTTGCTGCTCATTTGTCAGCCCTGGAGCTGGAGAGATTTATACCGTGTTTTAATAAATGTCTTGTCTGATCTCAGTGTCTTTGCTTCTGGCCATCAGCCAGAGCAAGCCCTTTTGTTAAAAAGGGGTAAATGGTAGAAACCTTCAAAGTCAGGAAATGAGCAAACATGGCCTTTGACTCAGAAAGTCTGGAGGAAAAGGCCAGGACTTAAATTTGGGGACTAACATATATAGAGGGCAGGACTTGGGGACAATGTTAGACCAAGAACTTCTCCACATTTATGGCTTCCTAATTCTCTGCTACTTATCCAACCTTCTTCAATTTGCTTGGGAATGCACAGTAGGGAGTAAGATTTAATTACTGTGCTCATTATGATGCTTTGACAATTGGGGTGCTTCATCTTCCAGATACCATAACACATTGCACCACTGAATATCACAGCTTACTTTGATAGTAAAAGCACATAGTTAAGATTAATTTAAGTATAAACTTGGATTCAAATGTTTAAGTCTGCTACCACCTTCATCTATCTTTCCATAGTTGTAGTGTTACAGGATTTTTTTTCCTAAGATACTGAATAGTCTTTCATGGGATAGTTTAGGGAAGATAAAACTCAGTTTTTTGAGAAAACAGATTTAATGCCACAAAACTTAATCTCCCAGAGGGAAGTAATTCAGAGACGTATTAGAGCAGATTACTTCTTTATTCTGCAATAATGGAACTCTTTTGGTAGCTCGATTTCTAACATCACTGGTCCAAGACATTTTTCTGCCTGCAGCAAAGGACAAGGTAACAACAAGACATACTCATTTCTTTACATCCAGAGCTGTCTAGACAGCTGGCTAAGTTTAACACTAGAGATGGATGAGCCCCCTCTACTACACTTTAAGGTAGCAGACTAATTTAGAGGCAAAGAGTAGACTTTATGGGATGCACCTGTCTTCCAACACACTCTAGTTCCTGGTTTCTCATTCTGCCCAGTCCAGCCCTCATCTCAGCAATTCGGTCATTGAACAAAACAGCTCAGTTTTGACATGATGGTGGCACCATTGCTGAATGTCTCACACTTCCTGGAGCCTACCAATTTTGTTGATATGGGACAACGTATATCAACCAAGGGTGACCTGTCATCTGCGGCACCGATAGGATAATAACAACCATGTGCTGACATCTTCAAGTTAGATTGCTGCAGTAGAATATACATGAAGCCATCTTTGCAGAATGCTCAAGAATTGAAGCTAGGTTGTAAAGTAGAACTGGGAGACTAGAATGTGTCTCTTCTGGAAGTGGAGATTTCACTCTGAAAGCTCCAGTGGCTTCTAGTTTGATCCTGAACAAAATCCAAGTTGTTGATACTTACCCTTAAACCCCTTCATAGGCTTTCACTGCCTTCTGCCATTTCAACCTACCTCGGCTCCTAAATTACCTCCAGATCCCCTTGTGTTAAAAGGAAAATCAGATTCTGATGGAAACAAGTGTTTTCTTGATTATGGTATTTCTGTTCTAGAATCCTCTCCCAGAAGTACTTGGTACTTAAGCATTTCTTCATCTAGCACTAGATGACAATATTAATTTAAATTTGTTATGAATTTAATATTTTTATTTCATATGTGTTTTATGACTAAGCACAATGGAAGACCTATTTTTCTCCATAACAGCCACTCTGTGAGGTAGGCTGGGTTGTGAGAGAGTGACCACCCCAAAGTCACCCAGTAAACTATTCAGCCTAAGGGTGGACTAGAACCTCAGTTTCCCCACTCCTAGTCCAATGCCTTAACCACCACACTACACTGGCTCATAAATGTTGTGTTATGTGCTATGTTATTATAAGATAGCGGAGTTCATTTTAAAAAAAATATATAATATGAAACTGCTGTATTGGTAGTTGTGGTTGTTCCACTGTTTCCTAATTTCCTCTTAGCTTCCAATTTTATTGCAGCTAATTTTATTTTTATTTCCCCCCTTTAATTTATACTTTGGGCCATGCTGGTAATAAGCACAATAGAAGGCCAGGATCTAAACACATTTATTCTGCTAAAAAATAAAGCTCAAACTTTTTTCTTTTTCTTTTTCTTTTTTTTTGCTCTTGGCTGATCTCAACCCTTCACATCCCACAAAGTTTGTTGAAGCCTCTGACCATCTGTGTGCTTGGACAAGATGTTCTTTCATACCACAGGCATGAATAAACAAAGAGGAAGCTAGCTAACCCAAGACTGGACTTCACACTAAAAGGAGCTGGAAATAGAACAGAAACACGCCTTAACCCGACAAGTCACTTTTGCTGGAAACAGAATAAGTAATGTTACTGACATCATCCCTCTACCAGCTGAGATCTTAAAAAAGGAAACAACTCACCAATGAGCTAGAAAACCAGTTCCTATGTTTATATCCCTCAAGTTCTCCCCCTCTATTGTACAAACATGCCTCAATTAGATTATATTTTCTTTCCATTCACAGATGATCAGAGCCAACAGTTCCCAAATTAAATAGGCCACAGCTCTTTCTTCCCTAGAACACCAAAAGTCCATAATACTCTTCCCAAATGTGATGCCTTCTAAACATGTTGATCTAGAACTGTGATCATCCTCTGCCAGCAGGAGAATGGCTGATCTTTAGAATCACAATACATTTATTATTCCCTGTCAGTTGTGACCTAGCAATTGGACAGTTGCAGATTGGCACCTGTGAGCCACAATATCCCTACAGATACCTCCCTACTGCTTGCTAGCCTTCTTGGTCTGCTCTACATTTTACTTTAGATGTTTTAAAAATTATTTTAATTTGAAACAAAATTAAAAAGGAAGCTGGCAAGTTGCAAAGCACCTTTCTCTTTTTTCCAAGAATGGCCTTGGATTCTACAGAGGCCCCAAATGTTTTAAGAAAACAAATATGGTAACTGACTCTAGAGCCAGTTTGGTGTAGTGGTTAAGGCACTAGGCTAGAAACCAGGAGACCATGAGTTCTAGTCCCGGCTTAGACACAAAGCCAGCTGGGTGACCTTGGGCCAGTCACTTTCTTTCAGCCCTAGGAAGGAGGCAA